AACCCCTTTCGGGCGGTCCGTTCGGTACCGGCCGTTCGTCGTCCGGTACCTAGTGCGTCTCGGGAGTACTGAAAGCTCGAGGTCGTCGACGTATCGANCTAAGAGGAAATTGAAAAGTCGTATCCTAAGGCAGCTTGGTACCAGCTGCCTCCAGCTGCTCGAACTCGGCGTCCTCGACCCGCTTGCGCTGGGTGTGCTCCTGCGGAACGGTTGACAGCCGTCAGATCTGCTCGAGCTTGAGCCGTAGCCGTCAGATTACGTAGTCCATTATTAGTGGGACTTGGAGTCAATACGAGCCGCTCGCAGCTGCTCGAACTTGGCGTCCTGGACCCGCTTGCGCTGGACGTGCTCCTGGGGGAAAGAAAAACAGCCGTTAGATTTGCTCAAACTTGGTCCGTAGGCGCCAGATTAGGTACGTAATCAATTGAGACAGGGACTGGCGAGTAGGTACTAGCTGCTCGCAGCTGCTCGAACTTGGCGTCCTCCACCCGCTTGCGCTTCACGTGCTCCTGCGGAATCCAATAACAGCCTTTGAATCTCCTCGATCAGCTTTGACGAGCAATCGATTGGGGGGGGCCTTTGAGTCAATCTTATCTGCTTGCAGTTGCTCGAACTTGGCGTCTTCGACCTGCTTGAGCTGAACATGTTTCTTGGAAAACGAACACAGTCTCCGTTGAACGACTGAATAAAGCCATCGCGTAAGTCCAATGTGGTAACGACCAATTGTGATGCGGAGTCATGACGAGCTGCCGCAAGTTCAGAATTGGCGCTTTTTCTCCAGTGCTGCAAGCGCACCAAGGAGACAAACTACCAGCCGCTGACACGATGTCGGAGTACAATCCTAGTCGTCACGTTTGCTGGAGCTTGGTATCAGCTATCTTGAGCTGCTTGAGCCCAAGCCTGAGCTCAGACCACTTGCCCTGGACGCGTTCCTGAAGATATGCTCGTCGCGGTTCGTCGACTTGGAACAACGTGGCCGTCGAGTGACTGGACGTTGGATCAAGATCAAAAGCAGAAGCCAGCTGAGTTCGAACGCGCGTCCTCAACCCGCTTGCCCTGAACGTGCCCCCCGCAGAGATAAGATGCTGCTAGGTCCATGCTGCTCGACCAGAGAAACACGCTGCAGCTTCCGAATGGACAAGACTGAGACGGCCTTACCTGGAGCTTCATCTCGAAGGCCTGCAGCATGCTGTCGCGCTGCTCGCGTTCCTCCATCCGGACCTTGGACTCGGACCGCTCCCGGATCTGCTCCAGCTCCAGATCGCGCTCCGCCACGTTTTGCAGGAGCAGGATCTGCGCCTCCTCCTTCTCGTGGTGTAGCCTCTGCTGCTGCAGCCTCACAACCTTATCCATAACCGCCTGCTCCTGCTTTAACCTGGCCATAACCCTCTCCTGCTCCGACGACAGGAACTGGCGCCACTCCGATGCGCTTACGCCCGACGACGGGTCCTCGTCCCCATCCAGGTTTAGCAAGCTCTCGGTCAACCCCCGGTACTTGTAGTCAGACGACACCATTTGGTACTCCACATCAGGGGCTGGCGTTATGAAGTCCGACATTGAAAAGAGGTTACCGGACTTCTCCCGAAACACGCGGTCCTCCATCTTCCCCGGAGGGGAGACTGCCCCCTGGGAAAGAGGGGCTGTCCCTTCCTTGGGACCTGAACGGGTTCTCCTAATCCTAGGTCTGTCTTCGGGGCTCGTAGGCATGGGGGGGAGGGCGGCGAGCGACAGTGACCAAAGCTGCTCGCAAGGTTAACAAGGGGGCGGTTCTGCAAGCGAGAAACACCTGTTGTTAGGATTGTTCGCATCATCGTAAGAAAGAGACACTTGTGCCAAAATCTGTGGAAGCGGGGCTGGAAAGGTTCAGCGCTTCTGCAAGATTTTTGCAGGCAATCTTAAGGGCCTATGAAAAGAAGTCTTCAATCCAGTGGTGCCAATGGATAAAGGCTGTTTCCCAAAATTGTGGTCTAGGTCACTTTTGAGCGGGGCCTGCAATGCCATGGCTTGCCGGCAGGATGATGGGGCCCTCTCCTGGGTGATTTGCACCTTTGTGAGACACGGAGAAAAATTGAAGGGTACGGTGCCAAGTGAGGGCTGAACGTAAGGGTTTTGTTCAGGGGGGATTTCTTGATCATCATATCCTGGATTTCAAGATAAGAGGACTGAGCCAATGTCTACTAGCGGCATGGAGACTTCAGGGCGTGGCAAATCAGAAAAGAAAGAAGACAACAGGAATGACTGAACGCCCTGTTTGAACTGTGAAACTAACTAGCATGCCTTTCCCTGAAGAACCTTCTAGCACAACTTTTGTTGAAGAAGCTCCTGAAAGCCATCCTTGACGCAATGCCAGACCTTCTCAAATAGTCATCCCTGCTGACGCAGACAATCTTTGGCTGTGGACAAAGTCTGCCTTGAGCTTTTACTACAACAGGCCATCTCGGCATCCGCAAGTCTGAACACAAAGCAAACAGAAAACCTTATGATGTCCATGGAATCATGCATACATCATGCTTTCATAAGGGAAGCCACAACTTGATTGCCCCAGCCGGGGGGCACCGAGAGGCTTAACAATGTGGCTGAAGGCTTTTGCCCTCTTCCCACATTCGAGCAGAAATGATACGTTTGCCTTACAATGCCGAGCGACATGGGAAGTAACTCTTGCCCTACAAGTTAACAGTTCAAAGCTCAGGAACAGAGGGTTTCCAAACATCTCAATCAGACAGGCCTACAATAAGATCACATAGTTGCTGCTCAACTACTCAGAAGAAGGGGGCCCTTGCAGATGGTATGAAGACAGCCGAAAATCCATACGCGTTTAAAACTCATATCAGACATCATATTGCCTAGGGCCTGATGAACATTCCATCCAAGCAAGGCAGGAATTGCTGATCTGCCCAATCCATGTTAGAAGCCTTCTCCTTGACTCTGGTCCAGTTTGTGGAAGCTTGAACTTCTGGACTCACTGAAATAGTATGCTCAAGTGCATAACTTATGTTTGCTCTTGGGGCCAGTGATCTTTGTAGCAAAACCGTAGCCCTGTGGCTAACGAAGGCATGACTTTACCTGAATTGAGCGCCTTCGCTTTACGCAGGGTGCTTGCGTATGTCCTGCTACACGAATGGCCTCCCCTCAAAGAACAATTCCACATGGCAACGAAAAAGCCGCGGATGCGCTGAGCAGTATCCAGTTTCTTTGCTACCGTCGCCCGCCGCCGAAATTGCTTTCAAATAGATAGCCCTTGCCAGGCAAATTCACGCTCCGTGCAGATAGAAAGCCCTCAGCTTGCCAGGCAATTGGTCACACTCCGTGCAGCTTTCAATCAAATTTAGCCGTTCCCTGTCTTCTCACAAAGGGTCTTGGGGTCCACTTGCAAAGCTGTTCCCCCTTCCATCGTGCTGCTTACAGTGCTGCTTTGCTTGTTATCGCCCTCTGATCGCCTTCCTAGAGATCAGAATGATTCCAGTAAACTTGACAGTGCAAGTACAATTCACATGGCGCGGCGCGTTCTCCACACCCCTTCAATCGTCTTCTAGCTTCCTGGCTTTAGGGCATTTCTCACTTTTCGCTTTTTGATCGGAGGCTTTCCAGCCGAACGTGACACAGCACTCAGAACAGATCAGCAACTGCCACAGTGTGTGGATACGGAAGATCACGTTTCTCCTGCAACGGTCAACCCACAGACAAACTTCTTCTGCACATTTCTCCTGCAAAATCTGAAGTTCAACTTGTTTGGAGCACTGAGCAGGCTGCCGCGCCATTTGCTGATTAGTCAGGGGTCTCTATCCGATTCAAATCTGATTCAGTCTGATTCAGTCTGATTCAGTCTGATCTGTGATCCGAGCCCATGTACCTTTACTACTACTACTACTACTAGTACTAGTGCAACCGTCTGATCAGTTGAGCGGTTGACTGCTGACATCAGTGTCAGGTTTCAAGTTGCACTCTGATGCGCTCAGCTCAGTCAGTTTGTGTCCGTGCGATCAACAGAACCGGAGCATCTAACGGCAAACTTACACCCAAGTGGCAACTGGTGTAGGAAGCTTCTGCCTGACAAGCCCACAAACACGACTCAATGATCGAGTTGGAACTTGGCGGACGACAGTGGACACCGGCTGAAATTGTGGCCGCTGTTGAGCAATCATTGGAAGTTGGTTGCAATGAAATTTCCGTGGCAATTTTCCGTCGCGCGAGCCTCAGGCGACAATGGCTGCCACTGCCCGGTTTTTGACAACTTCCTCATCCGAGCACCTAAAATGGTGATCCAACCACCATTAGAAAGCTCTCAGAAAGCTTTGAAGACTCATGCTAGGTGCTGGCTTCATAGAGCCGGTAATGCAGAGGGAGAGCGTAAACAATTTTTCAGCCATCGACGGGCCAGTGTGGATCTGTGACATTTACAGCTTCCAGATTTCTGTTCCAGATTTCTGAGCTTCTCAAGATGCAGTCATGCCTGAGACGGGGAGCAGAACTTTGCATTCTGCAAGGCTGAGATGCAGCCACTTGGGATCACGCGGGGACCGCGCTTCAATATTGAAAGGGAGTACCATTTTGACCATTTCTTGTTTTGTTTCGGGTTGCTTTTCACATGCTCTCTATTCCCAGACTTGATGTCTCTCAAAGTCTCACTGGCAGTTTATGCAAGCAGCATTGCTGAGCTTGTAGCCGCTTGCGCTAGCTTTTGCATACTGATGGCCCATGATGTCCTTCTTTTTCCAAGTCTTCTGCCTTTGCTTCTACCTCGATGTGGCAGCTTTCAGTGATGCAGCACCTGAGCAGCCTTGTGATAGCCCTGACCGAGACCACTGGTGCGCCTGCATTGCTCGCATTGCTTAGCAGCCCCAGAAAGACCTAGACACAATCGCCGCGTTACTGTCGGACAGCCGCTCTAGTTGAGCACTTTTACCCCTCTTGGAAGCCGGGCTCCGCTCTTCTTAACACTTGCCTCTTCAAGAAACTCCCCACAAGAACTTTCCACCTTTATCGCAGCAAGCACGCCAGTTTGCCTAGCTGACTTCGTTTACAGATCTGGTTTTGTGCACATCTTTTGTGCTACACCTGGCCATTCACCCATTTACCCGTTTACCCATTCACCCCATTTATCCGTCAAGAAAAGCTGCGAATTCGCTCTTTTCGGACAACGTTTACCCATGAGAACTCCCCGCGAGCAATCTCCGCTTTTACCCGCAGTTCGCATTCGAGCTCGGCATTGACCCAACACATCCATTAATCAATTGATCTTAATTGCTTGTGCGGCCAGGGTAGACCTGGTATCGTTGCACAAGTTTGGCAGACGCATGTCCAATGTTTTTGTCGAAGTCACTCAAGATTTACCGATCATGTGGATTCTCCATATCAGATCCTGTCCATGCGACCGGCTTGCATCTAATGTGAGTGAAGCCTTACATGCACGGGAGGGCACCCCCGGGGTACCTTTTCCCTCTTCCTAAAAACCGGACGCAATAAAACAGGGCGTACTGGAAGAGGGTTTTTAATGGCCCGACACTTTCCTCTCTGCTAAGCAATGGCATGGCCTCGCTCAAGGTCTATTATCTGCATGGACTACTGGTACTTGGAGAAGATCCCACCCAAACTTTATGCCCGGCAGGTTTCGGCTTCTGAATACATGTGTTTGTTTGTCAAAATTCTTCGGAAGAGGTAGCCCTCACCGACTTACGAACGTATCAGAGCCAACTCCTCCCCGGCCTTGACAAGTACACAACGTTTTGTTGAGAGTTGTCAAAACTGAACCGCCGGAAAGCTCTACAAGATACCTTTATGCACACGCTGCACCATCGTACACGACCAACCTACTCACCTACCGGGGCCCGTGACCTGCCGCCATGAAGACCCTACTACGTGTCCAACTTTACTAGCAGAATTAAGCACCCATTCGTAGATTTGTGCTAAGGTTTGTCAATTTGTCCAAGCTAGCATGTTAGGGCATATCAGGTGATCAGGCATAAAGGGTTATCCAATGAAGGTAGGCCATATAGTGAGTAGGAAGTGCATGTACCGTACTTGCAGTGGTAGAGTAGCTTTTCTATTCAAACGTTCAGACTCGCAACAAAATGTGTACTCGCTCTCAGGTCCATGGCTCACGCTACGGCCTTATTAAAGAAGCATACATACACACATTGGAACCTTTCCGCAGCAACTGCGGGTCGACAGTTAGAACTTAGAACTCCTCACTCGACGATGTCTAGAGAGGACAGAATCTTGAAGGGGCTTGTTTAGGTATTCGCTCTCAGGGTTGCCGCAAAACGCGGAGTACTTCGCTTGCATTGTACACTGCGGTCCCCGGAGGGCCCGACTCCCACCACCTATCAGCAGCTCGATTCCTCTCTGGCACTTTACCCAAATATCGCGGGGAGGAGTGGGCCCTCCGTTCGGTGGTTTGCAGAATCGACGTTTGTGAATCACTTTGAAGGTTGTATTGATCGTGTCAACAACCTTTCGAAGGTTTCTTCAGATTTGGGTCACTGCGCAGTGCGGACTCGGAGGGCCGGCAGCTTTGACAAGTTCAATTGTCACACTGAGGCTTTGTACCGGCAATAGGAAGTACCGTATACCGAAGAGGACAATTGACACCGTCTTCTATCAGAAATGTCCATCTTGCACCGTCGATTCAACTTGTAACTCTCATCCAAGGGCCGGACCCTGCTGTGGTTACTCCGACACAAATTGGCCTCGTGGTGCACGTGTTCGACCCGCCGCAGCGCACAGAATCAGGCCAGCCTGCTGCTTTCGATATCGTTCCAGCTCAAGCTCTTGAAAGCTTTGGGCCGACTCTAGCTTCGTGACTTGGAGATGGTCACTTGCACGCGTGCACACTGCACACCCAGGTGCATAGCGCGTTAAAAGATCAGCGTTCTTTGCCGCGGCCTGCAAGTGTTATAATTTCTTTCTGGATTCCGATTTCGACATCGAAATGTCAACCATGGTAGGACAGGATGTGACGCCGTAATTGTGGGCGTTGCCACGCACTAATTCAGGCCAGGCGCTCAAATAATGGAAAGCGGCATGCCAGCCTGCTGCCAGTACATGGGTCCATTTCGTGAGCGAGTCCCGAGCGAGTCACCAGGCTGCTCTGAGTGCGAAATCACCTTGGGCCTAGGAGAGAGTTTCAAGATTTCGAGGGTCCAACTCTGTTGTTTTGGACTTTGATCCGAGCTGACACTGTGACACTGAAACAGAAATGTTCTCACAGCTGAGGGCTGAGTTGTATGTACATTTGCAGAGGGTGGGTATTTCATTCCAAGTTTCAATCTCCTCAAAAGGCTATCACTTCTTGCCGCCTAGCTCTTTCCATTATTCCAGTTTGAGCTCACTGGTGGACCAAGAGCGGAACAACCTCTTCTTCCTATTCAAAGCACTGCTGCCAAACTGCACCTGATCAGCTGCGCATGCTGCTGCCAAGCCATCGAGTGACTGAAGAGCAACAAGATGGCGACCCTCCTGCTGATCGTGGCACTCCTGAGCGTCGCCGGCAATGCCGCAGCGGTCTTGAATACCATCCAGGTGCCTAGCGGATCGTGCGCTGACCCGTCGACAACGTATTTGCAAGCAAACAGGTATGAGCTCCCTCATTCTCTGCGCTTTTATTCTTAACTTGGAGCAGCTATGTTAAGCACCGCACAGCAATGCCCTGCCAACTAAGTCTGAATCTTCCATAACAAGGCTTGTACAGGGACAATGCTGTGCCGGCACTTCAGCTCTGAAACAGAGCGTTCCAGATCTTATTATGAACCCAGTTGATGCAGTCAGCAATCTGCCCCTCTGAGAAAGTCTTCAATGATTCTGAACCTAAAGACGTCACTTACTCTTGCCCCCTTCTGCTTGCAACTGAGGCGACATCATTGCTTCCGCTTTCAGCTGCGTGTGGCCATATCTCCTGCTAGTAGAGCTTGAGCATGGCGACATCCCAGTTGGCTCTGTGTGAGCAGAAGTTCCTCCCATCACCACTGCCCTCTGTGGAAGAAGTATCCTGACCCAGCGCTGGTCGCTGCCTGAGCTCAGTTTTGCAGGGTGGCATCAACATCCGGCGTCAAAAGCTCTTCTAGCTGCCCATAAACGAGTTTCTGAATAATTGGAAAAAGGATACCTCCTGTACGTACTTCCCACCTTTTTGAAAAAGACTAGGTATGGGACCTTACTGGGTCCTCTGTCTCTGATGTGCAGCAAGACCGTAGGACTTGGTGTTTACAACCCCGACATTCCCTTTGGTAAGCAAACCAGACCTACTCTGTGACTTCAACGCGATTGATATATGTTTTGCCCCCAAGTGTCCACATTCCGCTCCAGATGTGAGCCTTTAGTGAAACGGCGTAAACAACTGGCATTGTAAGCGTTGGGCCAATGTGTCTCTCTTTCGGACTTCTCCTAGAATCCTCCTGCAGAATACCTTTAATGTATGTAGAATACTACATACCATTATAGTATGAGGAAAGCGGATCATACTATAATGGGCTCATCCTACTCAAACCAACATGGTAGCTATGCAATGATCCGGTGTGACCACTTCTTCTCTTGGCCTCCTTCTCACAGGCCTTTCTTTCTGACACACCTTTGTTCTTTTCGCAGTCGCACATGTCAACTCTGGCGACACTTTGAGCATGTGAGCACATTTTGCCATCTTTCCAGAGAACAAATGAATCTCCTTACTGATGCGGTCATCTGAATCGTTTGGAGTCATCTCAGAACCTTACGCATAATTGATGGAGCCACAAGCGTCTGCTTTCTGGTCAAAGAAGGCAACCCTTGCCGCGTTACAATGTCTCAATTTCAGGAAATGCGAAACCGCGACATCTGTTTGCATTTATTGGACTAACTTAAGCTTTCAAATCCCTGTGTGCAGCGAGTGCGTGACGCCCATTGTGACAGCGTGAGTATTATTGCGTCGACAATGTCTCTTGTCCTCTTCTACAGATGACCATTAGCCCACCCCGATTGTCAGGCTTATACCTACTAAATCATCCCTCGTTATTGAGCCTCTCTCATTCACATTCTTCTAGATCTGTACCATCTTGCCATGCTTTTGAGATACTGCCACCATGATTTCGGCACTACTGGTGGCACCTGTTCCTTACCCCATTTTAGTCTGGCCCTTGAAGTCGCACTGGGTCTCTGTATATAGAGGCGCAAGTCTTCTCAAGCACTCTCTTCAGCAATCTGGATATCTGTTGAGTCACTGTCATCTGATGCCCAAGGACCATTTTTAGACTGGGTTTGGTTCCCATTCTTGGAACAGACATGTCGGCGGTGCAGGGGTGGGGGAGAGGAAGCGGAGGGAAAGGGGAGGGGAAAGAGGAGAGGGAAGAAGAAAGGAGAGACGAAGGAGGGGGGGGGGGAAAGGAAGGAGTCAATTGGACTCACCTGATCCAGGTGTTATAAGATCGATACTGACTTCCTCTGTTTTGACACAAAATCTCCAGCGACTATCCCAAGATGATCGAAGGCGACGTGGGTGTGGAGGATCTCGTCTACTGGGGACCAAGTAAGATGACTCGAGCACTTGAAGTGGAGGTGAAATGAAAGGACAGGAGCTTCGAGTGCTGACTCTCCTCTTGGTGCTGCTCTTCACTTGAAAGCTGTTCTTGTATCACTTCCTTCTATTTCGAATATTCCAGTCTGGTATGCTGCTATGCCCAGTTCAAACACCGTTCGTTTCTCCAGCATAGCATCGCTTGTCTGAACGGCCTTTCAGCACAATCGAATCGGCTTTTTACACGACTTTTGAGCCAAAGAAACTCCGGCAAAAATGCTCACCATCAAGTCCCCTTGTCGCTGCTTCTCCCAACTCATCCCTAGAAATATGTCCCGTTCTGGCCGTCCTGATGACAATTCTCTGCTCCGCCTCTCCAGATCAAACCGCACTGACCAAGAACATCCCTCTTTACCCCGGGGCCGGACCTCACTACCTCACCGGGTAAGCGTGGAATACTTGTCCGTATCTCCCGGTCTCTGACTCTGGTCTAAAATTCTTGGTCCTCCCACTTTATTTCCTTTGACAACCATTCATCCCTCTATCCTGACTCCAACCAGCTGAGCATCCCAGTTTGCTGTCTTTCAATCTCGTTCGTCCCAGTTTTTGCTTCTAAATCCCAGTCAAGCAGTACGCTGTCTTTTATTTCCGTTCACCCCAGTTTGTTGGCTCTAATCACTCCCGGTCGCTCGAACCCTTGCTGCACCACGACGCGAAACCCGTCTGTCGCAAAGTGCGGCTGTAGCTCAGAACTTCGAACAAGACCAGAAGACCGTCAGCTTCGTGTGCACCAAAGTCGTGCCAGGGGCGAAGTGGAGCTTCACAACTTCAGAGGCGACGAATTCCTGCTCAGTTTCACAAACGAGAGTTAATTGGTTCTTGCAGGCCGACGCAGGTGTGCGGCGCCCAGCCGGGGGATGTCCTCAAGGTAAGACGCTTCATTAACGACGCACTTTCAGCCTTTTTTTTTTTTGAGTTTGATTTGTCTCTTCCGGGACGACGGTGTGCTTCTGGCGCGACTCTAGAAGGACGAGGCAAACGCTTTTGAAGACCTCTGTTGGACCTGCCCCTTGCCACGAACGAGTGACGTCAGACACCGCTGGTCCGGTTTAGACTGGCATCGACTTCCCTGTTTTGCGAATCGACATTTCTCGCGTCTCAGCTGATTTGGAGCTTCCCAAACTTTGCCTGATATGCTTTTGACAATCTTTCGTGAGGCCACTTTCCATCACGCCACGTGTAACGCGAGCCAGGACCTTTGCTCTCGCAGATTGAGATCCTGAGCTTGACGCTTCGGAAGAACCCTCTGACAAACAAGGCCTACGGAGTCAATCTCCAGAACGGACCGTAAGTCTGCAGCAGTTCTTTTGCGCGCCTTTACTTGTTCGTGACGTCAGAGTGGGGTGCACCCCTTTTCCGCTCTTCGCGCGTCTTGTCATAACTTCCTCTTAGCAATTTCTCTCTCCGCCTTGTATACTGTCGACTCCGCCTGTCGCTCTTGGAACGCTTGAAGAACATGGAACAGCCATTCGATCCCAGCCCTTGCAAGTCGGATAGTCACTCTTGTTACCCCGTAATTTCGTCACCTTGCATACGCAAAAGTATTGTAATGTAGAAATCCTAGAGATATAACCTGCCACAGCACTCCAGGATTTAGCCGGAAGTGCTCCGTTTCCCTGCAGTGCGGTCGAAAATCATCGCCCTTGCCCACAGTCTTCTTCATCCATCGAAGGAAATTAACACGCGGCGTTGCTTCCGTTCCGTTCAGGTGGCTTCCGTCCAACACTAAGAACGCGGACGGAACCAACACGTCCGCAAGCGTGGTCTCCACCGTTATCTACGAGGTGGAGGAAGACGAGTATGGGGGCTGGTCAGTGCCGTAACCAACTTCAATCAGCCCATTTTCACCCAACCAATTTTAACCCGTTTTCAGTCTTCATAACAGTTGGTTGATCTAATAGATGCCCACGTCGTCGGAGTGGGACTCTAGTGGGTGCGATATGCGAAGCGCGTGATCCTAGAGAAGGGGTCTAGGTTCTATTCTCTGCGCTAGATTGCCGAAACCTTGGCTGGACTTGTTGAGAGAGGCGAAGTCACCACGAGTTGGCGGACGATACCTTGCGACTACAAGCGAGCTCGGCTGAGTTCTAGTCTGCGACACGAAGAGCTAATGTACTGGATGCGGCTCTTCTTGAGCATACTGCCTCGAGGTCTTAGTTGCTCTAGTCGGACGAAGGACGGAAACAGATTTGATCACTTGATTGTGTAGCCGACGCTTGCCAGGAAAAATATCCAAGTACGAAGTGTTTCAAGAGCCTCAATGGAGCTTAAGTACTTCACTTACTTGGAGTGGCCAAGTAAGTACTTACTCTACTTAACGCCCTCCTGATAAATCCCCTTTCTCATTGCAGGGGAGTTCCCGTTTATGGCTTTACCAACCCACGTAAGCTTCACGATCAACTTCTTGCAAAGAGTTGCTCCAGCCGAGAGCCTTCCGTTTCTTGAAAAATTGGATATGCTCGCAGCTTGCTGGCTTTAACTCTCCGTTGCGGTATCCGAGGCTCAGTCCGTTCAGTCGCATATTTGGTCAGTTAAGCAGGATAGGCAGAAGGTAAACCTCTGTTTTATTGGAGGATTAACAGAAAGTCGCTGCTAGTCAGGCTGATTACCAGACTTCAGTCTTATGGTGTTGGACACATGACCGGACCCTAACCTTGTTGCAAGGCTGCTTACCACCAAATTCTAGTGGATTTTAAACATCTAACCACTTTCTCACGCATCTCATAACCATTCCCTAACCATCCATGGTTACGGGCCGCACACTCCTGTGCACGCACTTAGCTCATCACACGTGTCCTCCGTACAGCTGTCATCAGCCCATCTGGAACCGACGAGAGTGGCTGTAAGTCTTTCAAACCCGTTTGTCGAACGCACATATGCCATCTCTCATCAATAAGACCAACAATTCGTGAATGCTGCTTGTTCTTGAGGCAATTCTACTTGAATCAATCCGCCTGGTAAAGGTTTGTTATCAGGCAGTAGTAGGGCTTCAACAATGACGGTCTCGACATCACTCTGTGCCAGAATTCAACCTCGAGCAACAGTTGATTTTGGTTCTTTGTGAAGCTCTTTGGTTCTTTGTGAAGCGCTTTGGGATGCTTTACTTAAGATTCTGCACCACCCGCCTGCGTCTCCAGATTGCCTCCCATTTCTCCACTGTTGAGACCCCTTGGTAAATAAAAGCGGAGTTTTCGCGCTCTCCGAGAAGTGAAGGCCTCGGAAATCTCCCTTATTCTAGTTTCTCCCCTTCCCCTCGCAACTGGAAACTCCTAGTCTCTAATATTCCAGAAGCTCTACCAGGGGATCCCCAGACTCCCGAAGTTTTCAAGATTTCCCCTCATTTTAGTTCCCTTTTCTTTCCCGCAGCCATCATTCCCCACAAGACCAACTACGGCGTCAAGACGTCAGCCAACGCTTCGGGCTTCGATCCCGTGACGTACCCCGTCGGGTTCCAGAGCACGCTCAACTCCACGACCGACATCCAGTACATGAACGCATCCTTCCAGTATCGCATCCCCGTAAGGAAGTTCCTCGGAACCATCGGTAAGCCGCGAATTCCTTGGTCCGAAGTATCTGACCATCTCTCCTCTCTGAAGCGTAGGCTTTTCGGACCAGAGTTTAACGAGCTTCGAGTCCACCTTAATAACGATTTTCAAGCTCGGAACGCGCCTTCCGGTGACTCATCTCTTTCTGCAAACCGTTCCTTTACACATCCTCGATCCACGTCTGCTTTTACGAGGGATATAGGGACGGTGACTGGGACTCTAATTCACTTATGTTCCCGATTTAGCCTCGTCTCAACTACAGTTCTGGCTGTTTGAGGGGTGTCTCTGACCAGAATGCTAGGCGGAGGCTAGGTAGCACCGTTCCAGCTCTTCGCAGAGATTCCATCGCGCAGCGCCTCTTGGAAAAAGAGGTGGGCAGTGCCTCCTGCTCGCACCCGGTCTGCAGGAAGGGTTTGGCTGCTAACCAGGCTCGGCAACCAGAAAATGTCCTGGTTTTTCCACCAGAAACCGCGCTGTAACCAAGTTCAGAATCTGGCTACTGCTCGAGTCTAGTATGAGACATAGAACCCGCTTTTAACAAGCGCGTAACCGACCGTTGTTGAGTCGCCAAAGAACGCTGTGGTCGTCACTCGGTCAGTGCAGAATGTCTGCGGCCCAAAAGAAGTCGGTATCAGATGGACGGTACTATAAGCGCTATATTATTGCGGCCCAAACCAGAGCCAAAGACGTTGAAAGCGGCTTGAAGATGACGACTTTCAATCTTTCCCTGCAGGCGTGACTCCAGCCAACGCGGTGAAATACATCAACGGCGCACCGGCAGGTACCTAGTCGTTATCTCTATGCTCTGAATATGAACACCGGCGTTCTTGTTTGCAAACAGGCTTCCAAGTTAACTTAGTGGGGCTCCTGTTGCATGCTGAGAGAAAACCTCAGAAAATTCACCCTTGCTTCGTAAACTTGCGGAATGGGGGAATGTGCATGGGGCCAGACCGTGCGCGTGCGAATATGATCACGAGCACAGGTATGACGTGACCCAGCCGTCGATTTCTTCGTCCTTCCATCAGCAAAGGAGAACAGGGGACACGAAGATCTACAGCACAGTGTAGGAATTGATGACTTTGATGTTGCAGCAAAGTTGGCTTCGATCCGAGGAAAATGTTGTCCGTTGTACCATCATCTAGACAGTTGACGACGTTTCGTAAATCCTGATAGCAACTGCTTTTTTTTTGCAGGCACCAAGGGAGCCGCCAGCTGGGCGCCTTCTAGATTCGGCGGTAACATGGTGAGGTTCTCGAGCCATTTTCTCGGTTCAAAGCAAGGAACGAGTCCTGCTTCGACTCGTAAATTCTTGCTTCCGACAACGAATGAGTACCCCTTTCCTTTTTTTGTTTCCTTTGAAAAAATTTCGAGGAGTTTGAGTACGAAGCAGACCAAGTAGACTCCCTTCTTGTTTTCCGCCAACCGCGCTCGAACCTACTCGCGCGTGTTCGCTTGAATGGCGTAGAACGGACGTTGGCAGGCGGCCGAATCGTTGAACACGGCCGTCGTCAGGAAAATCTCTGGCGGGCAGTTCATGAGGCAGGCCGAACAAGCACACCCGACGCCAAGGTCTTGTTAGGGAGTTTCGCGCGTTCTGGGCGAAGAAGTGTCGAGCCCGAAAACATTCTACAGGCTGTGCCTTTTTAACAAGCAATGAACCTTCGGATAGATAAAGGTTCGTGATCACGCGCAGGATGGTTAATCAATAAGGCGTTTAACATTCAAACCTTAAAGGTCGCGTGACCTGTGCAGGATAACTGGCGTGTGGGCGCCGGTGCCACTCTGTACGTCCAGGTGGAGATCCCAGGTTAGTGCGCAAACCAGACGGTTTTCGCCCCAAGTAAATTCGAGGTTAAGGGTTTGTACCTTTTGAAATGCTGGCGTCAGAATTGTGAACTCAGGCGCCAAAGTTCTGAGGACTACGACTAATCCTGTTGCAGATCTAAGAAAGATTGTCTTCTCTAGAATACCGCGTCGAAAATCATCCCTTGTTTCTATGAAATTTTTCTGCTTGAATTGATTGCATCGAGACACGAAAGCCTAGAACGACAGTATCTTGATACCCTGGAACCTCTTTTACTGCACTCCACTTTGCTAATCTCCGGACTCCGGGAATACCCTGTCTGCGGTGAAGTTTACACCTTGTGGCCGGCTCCAGTTCTGCATCTAAAGTGTTTCTCTCTTCTTCTCAGGCGCGGGCTTCTACTTAGGCGGTGAGTACTCAAGCTTCTTTTTGGATTCCTGACCCTTCCATCCTAATCATCTTGGGTCCCGCGGTTTTGATCCTCGCTGAAGTCAAACTGGCTGGATGTTCCCTATACATTTGTTGACAGGAACAAAGCTCTTGTCAACACGTGTTTGCTTTAAAACACGTGTTGATGAAAAGCAGGCGGATAGCGAGTCGGGATATCGCAATCCGTCGGCTTTTGTTTTGATAACATTGCATTATGGGCACACGGTCTGGCCCCGTTTCGAAACCTCTTGAAACGACACTCAGAATATTGCCTAGCGACACGTCTTTAATGCGGAGATGAGGAAGTGTCAAGTGAGATCAGGGTCGGGGGCTGAAACCAGAATTGACACCATCTGCAGACTGCCACGCCGCACAGGGCGACGCCGAGATTTCCGGAACCGCCATCGAGGCGTCGCTCGACGGCGTCTACCGTCTCACCGTGCTGCCGGCCGCTACTCTCCCGGCGGCTATGAAGAATCTGAGGTCAGCTTCCGCTTGAATCCTTCGTTCCAATCGCCTTTTCTCGTCCGTCGAATTTTGTTTCCCCGTTACTCTTACTTGCTGTGCTGTCCTGTTGACTCAAAATTGCCTTCTGGCCGGAGAGATTCCTTCCATCCTCTTTGTAGTCATGTGTCCTCGCGTCGTATCTGTTGTACGTTCCTCTTCTATCTTCTCCTATCTCAATCGCCTCGCGCTTTGTCTTTGTTTGTGTGACGAGCAGCATTACGCGAAACGGTTTCTGACGAAGATGTCTTATTTTGTTGCAGCTTCCCGATTGTAGAGACTGCCACCCACATTGATATCCAGGGCTTCGCGGTAAGATGCGCGTCCGTTCAGGCATATTACTTCGCTCTCACAGCTATTACGAGTTCTGCTCATATCATGAAAAGAAATCAACCGACAAACGGTTTTACTTTGATACATTTTCCAAGGGGAAAGCAGCGGGTCATGGATAGGTTTCCAAGGACCAACCGTATGTGGAGCAAGATACTGGAAAGATACGGAGTAGCTTCCTGCAATATAATCATATGACTCGTTTCGAAGCGAAAAATCTCGCCCGTGCTTAGACGGAGCTTTTTGAATCCATCGTCAACGTATCGTTTGGAAACCCTGAACTCGGTAAAAACAATGCAAACCCAACCGGACTTCTGCGCGCGCAGTTCAACAACTACCTCGACGAGCTGGCCGTGCCCAGTGCCGTTGCCACCTCCGGCGGCGCGAGCGTCGACAAGGCGCTCGCGCACGCGTACGAGAACGCGCGCACCTTCCTGGTCAAGGGCTTCGGGATGCAGGTGGGTTTATCAAACCACCACTTACTGATCTGATGTGGATATATCTTTTGGAAAAATCTTACTGTAGCACAAGCGCAGTTTATCGGTACGGCAGCTGTTGAGAGGCAGATTGATTCACAGAGGACCCTGTCAGTCACCGCAAGGTGGGTTACGATTGGGCTTAACAGAATTGATCACTTACCGCGAGGTCGGTTACAATCAGGTTAGCAGTTGATCACTCGCCGCAAAGTCAGTGAACATCAGGTTTAGCCATTGATCGAAGTGCCCAATTAAGAATCAGTCCCCAGCTCGCTTAAGGAAGACAGTCGCCCCCTCTGAATTGCGATCGTTGCGCTCTTTTATTCAAACTGCATTTTGTCAAAGGTTCCGTCCGTCTGAAAGCCCGCATCGTCCAGATTCTGTTTACCTATCCTATCCATTACCCCCTTCCTTTCAGAAACTCGAAGTTATCACCTCTTACGGCTTAATCCTCGTTGGTTTCCCTCGATTGTCCGGGCATTCCTTTCGACCACGGTTACTTCTTTATCCTTCCTGATTCACGCGGGCTCTCAATACAAAGGGTAATTGTGAAACCGTCCCGCTAATCTGTTGTGCCCGGGCTTCATTTCAAAGTTTTGTCTTGTAACCTTGTCCTAACCTGTTTTCAGGAGCGCGAAGCCCTGTCCCTAATCAGCACTGGGGTGGACTTCGGCGTTACCCAGGTCGTGGACCAGAATTTCGGTAAGGCAAAAATCGCAAAAGCTCATCAATGCATGATAATCCGTAAGAGCTTGCTGACGACGTCACCCTTTGCAATCCCGTCGCCGAACTGAACCTTCTCGAGAGCTTCTTGAGGATGAAAGTCAGGATTTGCGACACACCCGATCCGGGTCACCGACGGGAGTCCTGGAATCTCGTTCATGATGAGGTTCGTGACGTGTTTTGACCGCAAAGCGTTGTGGACGCTCACTAAACGGATATGCCGTGAGCTCGTCCCACTGGCACAGTCCGCAAGATCTATTCAGGATGGAAGTCTTCGAAAGCTTGGTCGATGAAGGTCACGGCGGATCTCGTTAGGGCGCAGTTTGGAACGGTCACGAGTCAAATCGAAAGCCTTCGCCGCGGATCGGATCCGCTATCGCCACTGTGAAGTCCTGAGTGGCGAAGGCGTTTGCTAGGAAATCGGCATCTTCCCGGTGTCTTCCCTCTTCCACCAATGGAAGTGACCGTAGACTTCGTGACCAGTGCCGACCGGTCGCCTTCTCCAATGAGTGCGCGAAGACAATCCACCTCTCACTGATGACTTTGCTGCTGGTACGCTAAGGGACCGATCCCGAGAGACCCGAACGTGGCAAGTCGCTCTTCTCTTCGCAGGAGTGCACGCCAACATCCCGAAGGCCATCTTCAGCTCCAAGTCCGGTTCGGGCGCGGGCATCTTCACGGGGCCGTCCAGCCGCAAGCTCAAGGCCGAGGTGACTTATCTTTTGCATTCCACGGGTTTCAAGATTGTTACAGTTTATTGCGTTGCGGTGCGCCGAATCATTGTCCTTACAAGGAAGCCTAGTGACTTAGAGACGGGTCTTCCAGTCCAACGGAAACTCCGAAGGGAGTTTCCGAGATCGGGTCTCTTGTGCTTTTGCACATCGTCGAAATGTTTGGCCTTCGAAGCCCAGTAGGCGAGGGTTTTGTTTGACGTGCTTATGCTACGTCGAGCACCCACGGATGCGGAACGGCTGCGATTTGCGCCTCTCTGACTTCACACGATTTTCCTACTTGCTGACGGTTAGAATTCTGGTATTGCAGAAGGAAGAGCCGGAGGACCTCATCGGTCTCCTCCGCAGGTTTGAGAAGAAGTAGCCGTTGTAACTGTGGGTCTTAGTTGTCGATCTTTTCAAACCTCCAACGTCGATCTCAAGGTTACTCGTAGCAAATGTTCTCCGATCTGGTTTGCAAGTGCAAGATTCCCAGCAAACGAGTCGAACCCAGGCCTAAATTAGGCATAGTTTGGAAGGACAGCTAGGCGGTCGTCAGTCTTTGGCTATACATGTGTTGATCAACTACAAGCCTGAAGTGGTTCATTACTTTGCATTAGTTAGAAATAAAGCAGACGTCCAGCTAGAGCAGTGAAGCACCAATCCAGACCGCGGCGCGCAACAGACGACTTTTCAAGGCGGCTAGAGCTTCTGCCAGATTCTAGGATCTGAGTCCGACCTATAAAGGCGGATCAAAGCTTGAACGGTCAAACTAGTTACTATGGATCTTAGCTGGTGACAGACGTCAGATTACATTCCTATTACAAATCTGTCGATAAAGGAAGGTTGTACACCTTCAGTAGGCCATGCCTTTCAATATTTATCGTAATTAGTGCCCGAGTGACCATCCGATCCACTGAAGCAGCAGTCGGAGGGTCCATGCATGGAGCCGCGACATGGCATCTGGGGCCATTCAAGCGCAGCGTATCATATAACTTCAATGGACAGATATGTACTATACGAAACGCGCACTGACCGCATGCATGCGCCCGGCGCCGGCGGCGCCGGGCGCGGCACATATACTATATTTGATTCATGCAATTGAACGTGACGCTGTCCTAGAAGACGCGCACAATTAAACATGCCTGAACGTGCGGAGTAAATGATTTCTATATGCGAGATCCTAACATAATCAACGGCACAAATGATCATTTCTTCAACATGACGAACGCGTGACAGTTTGCAGGTCCTCAGGCCGAGTCCGATCATCCTGGCATCACATAGACAACACGCTGCCTTAGAAGTCGCGGCGCGCGCCCCGGCCACCAATCGTTTAAATCAACGTAGGTGTCTTGTATAAGAGCTAGCTGGCATGCCACGCTATATACATGTGATCTGTGGGCGCCTATGAGTCAGGCTCAATTGGCAACTGCTCTCCATCCAACAGCCAGCGCTGTCAGGTGATGAGCTAGTTTCAAAATCAATTTGCCCACGTGCAACGGCGTCGTTCGGCCATTGATGATGTAGAATTAGAACGCTTGAGCATGCGGAAAGTAAGGCCGTCTTTGTCTGTCGTGCTCGGAGGACTACGGTGTACATGAATGTAGGCTCCTCTGGATCATCAATCGGTCTACACGAGCTCATGGTATCCGTTGCCTGCGCCCTATGCTAGCGTCGTGCAGAGCGAGCTCAAAATTCTGCTTGTCTTTCGCTTTGATCATGATCCACGCCGTCTCGAACCCGTCGTGGTGGTACTCCAGGCCCTGCTCCTCCGCTACCCGGTGAAATAGGATACCGAGTTGGCTGTAGGAAAGGACACCTTTTGATCAGCAAGGCCCTTCCGCCGATACAGAGAACCGATCGCCACAGTTCCAAACATTCGCTAGGCCGCTTGTCGGGATCAGCATCAGCGGCTCAGAGTTGTGTTCAGAAGCAATATGCATACGGTATTCTGGCCACATCCTTGCATCCTCATCCTCATCAGGCCTCGCAAGGAAGTTGTATTACTTGGGAATCAACGTACGGTACAGAACAAAATCTGGACTTGCCCTTGCTCGCAAGCGGGTCACCAAATAACAGCGCAGAATCTTCGGCTAGCATGGTCACGAAAAGTCTCCAGTGGGGTAACAACAGGAGCTTCTTAAACCGGAGAAACACGTCCTCGAACCCTTTACAGCAGTCAAGTGTGACTCACTTTCCCGTCGCTTCTCCGAGCGTCGGTCGCGGCTGGACTCCGACCACGAGCAGCCGGTCGGTGCCCGGCATCCGGGCCCACGACACAGCCGGCTTCCGCTTCTTGCCGCTCTCCTGCACGGAACAGGGGCGGAAGGGCGGAAGATTCAAACCTTGTGCCAAATGACAGACTGTGTACGGATCGGCTTTTGTACGTTCTCCTTTTGCGATCATCACGGTGAATCCGGGGGCACAGGGGTGAAGTTCTGGAGCAAAGTAGTGTGCCAAAAAGGTCGATGATAATCGCACTACAGAAAGGTCTCCCTCAAAGCCAGAAGCCTTGCCGCTTGCGCGACTTTGCGGATTGTGTGCCCGCATCGTGTATCAGGTCTTTCGACATAAAGACGTTTACTAAAGGTTCAAACTCTTCTCGATTCACGTCGCACGGCGCATACGTTCTGAACAAGACCCGGCAATAATGTCAAGTTACGAAGCGGATTCGGTCCCGAACTCTCGAACTTAAGAGGTCGACATGACCAGTTGAGTTAGCAAATGCAGCAAACACTCTCACCAGCATGATGTCCATGATAAAGAGCGTCAGCTTGGAGAGCGCGAGCGGGTGCGCCAGTTTCCGCGTGTCCTTGGGATCCTCCAGGTCGAACGTCATGAAGTACTTGCCGAAGTGGACTCTCTGCAGGCGGCGGAAGAGACGGGGATGTCACGTGATGGACTGATAAGGGCAGATTAGTGTGGCATTCAGAATTCACTGTTAGCTGTTCAAATTGGCAAGCATCAGGCCTTAAAGGAAAAAAGCAGGTGCGTCTCTATTGCGGCACACACCGGCTGAGATGCTTCTCCAAGCTTCCAGATTATATTTAGAGTTCTTTCCGCAGCTTCATTAGCCCTTACGAAGTAGCCTGAGAAGCAGAAAAGTACACATCTAGCCGGAAGACTGCAAAGATCACTGTCAAGTTTCACCTCCGAAACACATCGTCATCTAGAGCGCTCTTCCAGGGACGAGACCGCTCACAGAAACTTTACCTCCTTGCATCACAGCGGCCAGCCAACCAGTCTATCTGGAATTCAGACCTCAATGTTGCCCTGCACACCCGTTCAAGCAGTGCAAGCGGCTTGCATGCAGCCCCTAAGTCTATATCCCGGCCCTCACCTTGCTTTGCTTCGCTAAACTGCCCTGGTCGATCGTGGCAACCTGGACCGTCTTGGCGTGCTCGATGCCGTGGTTCAGGTCGACGCGATTGGTGCTGCGAGCCGAGAAAGCACTTTCAGGGCAGAACTCTAGTTTCTTCTTCTAATAGAGCTCCCCGAAAGGCGGGGTTCCCTCTCCTTTCTTCGATCAAGCTGTGCCATCCAGTTCTGGCAGAACGACGAAAGGCCCCAGAGGGAAGGACGTGCGCCTTCATTAAACTTGCAGTCGCATTCAATTTCTGTACAAGCAGAGAGAAAGTTGGCCTCAACCTCTGCAACTAAGTAAGCTGCCGCACACTTCCGGGTCACCCCTTTAGCGGCACAGCCAAGCTTCGCCGGGCATTTCAAGGGTCCGGCACTCCTTGAGGAACGCATCGGACCTTTCATCATACAGGAAACCATCTTCTAGTTTCAGACGCGCCACCGTCTCGCCAAGGGCAGAAAAAGCCAAAAGGTATAGGCTGCGGAGACGCACAGCGCATTGACGGCCGACCAGAAGTTGTCCATCTGCGTGGTCCCCTCGTACTCGGTCATCTCCAGGAGCGCCGTCAGGCCGTACACAACGTCAGCCGCTGACACGACTGACGTGTAGCCGTGCGACAGCTGGAAGCTCCGGAAGAAGAGCTCGTCCAGGCCGAAGCGGGGGCCTAGCTTTTCGAGCTGCTCCTTCAACCGACTGCGAGACGTAAGAGCAAGGGTTTCAGGAATGTAGCAGCTTTCCCGTTTATTTTTCGCGTTGCAGTATGCTCTGTCTGACAGGCGACAGCCAGCTTCTCCACACCTCTTGCAATCCGCTTCAGAACAGGACGGGAAGCTTGAAGCTTAAGAGCAAGCGTGCTTCTCATCTGCTCTTGAAAAGTTACGGGATGGTACAAAATGGAAAAGACACGACCAGCTTTTCAACAGGCTGAAGAAGGTACCGAGCCCAGGAGGGTTTACAAACAGATGCAGTGAATTGGAAGCGGTGCAAACCAGGTAGAGAAGCGACAGTCGTCTCTGCATAGAAAGTAGTGCCTCACCCTTTGACGTCCGGATGCATGTGCGTAAATTTCTGCTCGCACTCCTTCTTCGGCAGGCCCATGTCGGCCAGCATCAGGTTCAGCTGCCGCCGACCCCTCTCCGTATACGTCTTCAGCCTGGCAGCCACGTATGACGAATAGGCTATGGAGTTGTAGAGCGTCCAGTGCCGCATGAGCATCAAGCGGGGCTCGTCCTCTGCGGTGATCCGGTGGAAGTCTCCGATCCTGATGCGGATGCCGTCCTCCAGGATAACGTGGGAGGGGTTCCGGACGTTGTCGTCCGCTGAGGCGATCTCGACCTGCGGGGATCGAAATGAAGTTTGCCTTCTAGGCACTCAAAAATGTTGTAGGGCTGCCGGGACGTGAGAGGCCTTGGATAACGTGGTCCAGCGGACTGATTCCGAGTTTAGAAAAGGTTGCTACTTTCTGAAGCAAAGAAGGGACTACTCTCAGACGATAGAGTTCGCAACGCTGAGTCCATTTGAGCAATCGCAAGCCATTTTGGTTCTTGGACAACTCTCCTGCGTATCTGATGCTTTACGAGTTAGGATGGTGCTAAACGCTTGAGGATGATATCAACGTCGGTGAATGAGCTGCCCCCTTCAGCAAGTCAATTACGACTGCATTGAGCTTTATTGACAGGGAAGGGTGGGCCGTAAGCAGAATTGACTCTCACTGAAAGCACTTAGGAAGGCAGACTGCAAAAGCGGGGTCGCTTGTGCAGGATTACTTACGTCCTTTTCTAGCTCAATGACGACCTGCTGGTACCTTTCCAGGGTCAGCCGTTCATGGATGAACTGATCTGTCACCGCAATGATGGCGTACCTGCAGAAACCACCCAAATGATCATCTTGAGAACGCCTGCCCTAGTTTGTATTTGGGGTTCTCCACGAAGCATTCTAAGCTCAATAAAGTGGCCCCATATTGATGTTTGGATATACTGATGCAAAACAGACAGGGTGTCGAGAAGGCTTCCAAACGGATTGCTGCTCCCCTGATGCCACACACTCTGTTGGACTTGCCGAGGAGACAACTTAAGTTGTGGGGACTCACCATAGCAACTCGTTTTTGGTCCTATTTAGAAGGTGCGCCATCCGGTACAACGTCAACCCGCAGGCCCGCCCGTAAAACGAACCCCGGGCATAGTACTCGCTCTTTTGCCTTTGCCACTCTTGCCTCTCTTTTCTCCGTCCAACCGGTGAAAAGGTTCCCCCAGGCCCCACTTTTCGTCGCCGCTTCTCTGCATGCAGAAGACTGCAGGATATCAGGAGCTTCCCCAGTGCGGCAAAAAGCACGCGGCAAAAAGCATAGGCTGGCCAGTCCATGTGCCTGCGCGGTCTCTAATGTCAATTCGGGCCTTTGCATGCAATTGAAATGCTTTCTCAAGCTCGCTGAGCATGCTTTTGTGGTTGATAAAAGGCAGGCGAGGAAACCCTTGCTCGCAGATACAGATTGGGAGAAACCCGCTCGAGTTGCGGAATCTAGAGATAACCTGAGGGTGAAGCACCAATAGGAGGTGTTTGCTGCAAGGCCATATAGCTGAGGAATGATGCTTGTTGTGCAGCTTACCTGGCCGATGTGAGGGTCCCTCATGATCGCTACTTGCATAGCCATCGTCACTCTCACTACTGCTTGCCTCCTCGTCCTCGTCTTCGGTCAAGTCATTGTCACTGGCCGGATCGGACCGTCGTATCAGGTCCGCAAGTTCAGGGTATGCATTATCCTGATCTGCAGCGTCATCTTCATTATATACAACAACCACCTGTGAGGAGCAGATGACTTTAGAAGCGTGAGTCAGTGAAGCAGAAGTAGATGACTTCACAGACTTCCTGCCTCAAGCATGGCCTAGGCTGAGTGGACAAGGTAGCTGTAAAGATTAGCTAGTGGTAGTCTCTGCAGATCGAGTCAGCTCTCAACCTGCCACTTGCTGGCATTGCAAGTTCCTCGCTTGTCATCACTGGTTGGGAAATGAACATGATTTTATTGACCGGCAGATTCTTCAAGAAAGAACAACAAGGCTGTTATGGAGGAGCTACGCTACCAATGAGCCTCATAATTTCAGATTGTAGCAGATTTAACAGAACCACGGGGAAATGCTTTGTCACATCACCTGCTTGTTCTTGCTGCTCAAGTTGTGCAGGTGGAGGGGGCGGTGGCTATCGATCACAAATAGAGTTGTCTTTGCTCCTATGTTGAGCCTGGCTGCGAGGTCCTCTGTCCCACCGCAGTTCAACAGGATGGCGCAGCAGTACTAGGCAAAGAGACAAAGCGTGCATTAAGCATAGGTTCTATAGTATCTTGTTACTATCCACATTCCGTACTTTTGAAATTGTGGAATGAGAATGGCAACTCTTTGAAGGCAGTTCTTGAGCGCTGACATTCCCAATGGGGACTGACATCATTACGCTTTCACGAGAATGCATAGCAGCTGAAAGCTCCAAACTCCATCGCCAAAACCCATTGACCAAGGGGCAGCCTACAGACATGAAGCTTGCACCAGATCAACATACAGTCAGGCCCTTGTCGGTAACTTACCTCATCATTTTGACTGATCCCCTTGTCCGCATGCCGTTGGATATCCTCATAACCGCTTACTGGGAAAACTGAGTAAGTGATTGTGTCGCCTTTCAGAAGTTCCTGCATAATTTGGAAACCCCCATGAGTTTCTTGCTGACATCGGTCAAGCTCTGCAATCCAGAGAGGGGTAAACAACATCTGGGGTGGCAAAATTCTCTCTGTCTTCTGATCGCTTTCAGCTGTTCCTCCTATCAGGCAGATTTCTGTTGCTGCAGAGGTCTAGGGTCTGTAGCGTTGGAGAAGGCTCCTGGAAGGCTTCTCACAAAGGTCTGGTCTCAAATTGCCAACTTCCTCAAAGATACACCTGAAACAAAGGTAAAATCTGCACCAGGTGCTACAACCTACCTCATGGTGCAAAAAGCCTAAGGCCCATGGGTTTGAAAGGAAGGGTTTCACATAATGCAGATTGTACTTAGTTTGCATATCGAAATCATAGTTTTCAGGAGTAGGCAGCTTACCGTCAACAATCTGAGTGAGACGATGGAGTCTGTTTCGTTGGCTGATACATAGATGTTAAGATTGTTTGAGCTTGCTCGATAGGCTTCGTTCCGAATTGTGTCATAGGCCTGGTACAGATCCCTCTCAACAACCATCTTTTTCAGCGGACTCTGCTAAGCCGCACGTTTGCAGTGGCCTTTCCCTTGCTGATGGGAACCGCTCACTGTGGTTGTGTAACATAATATCTTCTTTTGAGCAAGATCCTGTGACCAGTTGCCGGTTGAGCTTGGAGCAAAGCTGCTTCAATTGAGTTTGCAGCTTACAGGGGCAACTAGCTAGCTCGATGCCCTAGTCACTCTCTAAGTCCAAGTCGAATGTAAAACAGGACTGCTGGCACTTTATTAATCGAACTTTCTGTGTCAGGAAGGAGGGTGCCTTTGGCAACCAGAGCCGTATGCTGATGAAGATTTAAGTTATAGCTCAGGACCGCTATTGTTTTTTGCAACTTCCTTGCAGCGTGTGCCCGTCAACTGTTTATACCCTCAGCTTCAAGTTTTACCATCAGAGATTTGCTCCAAACACTGCAGGGCAATTTGTCAAATAACTTCAGCGCGCCAGATTGCCTCTATTCCTTCTCAGTGCGGCCGGTGTACCGTTATTGAAGTGCAATGTGCTCTCCTGCATTTGCCCCCTCTTCCTCGCTGCAACAGCGCCCTCGAATGCTCAAAAAGTGTTTTGCACACTTGCTTTTGCGCAGACTCTTGACGGCAGCGCACAAATCCTTGGACCTTGCTCAAACTGTTCCCGAGCCGAGCCTGCTGCTCTTCAAATTCAAACCCAGACTTGTCCCGCCATTCTCCTCGCCACATCCAATCATCGAACCGTCCATTGAACTTACAAAGTCAACATCGGAATGACACGTGGCAACAGAGCACAACCAAAGGGTTTTCTACCGCTCTAGTTCTCTGTGCACCGCCGTTGGGCGCCTCCTGCCTCGAGTGAAAGTGACACTGAGATTCTGAGAAGGCAGCCAGAGCTCAATGCATGAGGGTAGAATGAGAGCGCCTGCATCGCCATGGTTGATCAGCGCATTGAGTAGCATTGATTTTATGGAAGGCACAGTCACGGACCCTCACGGTTCACCACTAGGTAGTACCTGCAAGGGCTAAGGATGAAAATTAAGCAATGTATCCTGCACAATTTTGACTGCATGGGGGTAAAAACAGATGCTGCTCTTCACCAATTGCTCCAACGGTGGCGGCCTGCAATTAGATCGAACTAGAGGACGCCGACCATCAGACAATCTTATGTCGCGGCGACGTGATGCAATCCTTCAGAGTCTCTTGAAATTGAAGTTGTGCATCCTTGCTGGCCAAAGGATCTATTCAGATAGGCCATTTGTTGGTGGCGTTCAGTTTTTTCTTTGAAAGATCAAGCTAGTGGCGCAGTCGGCTGTGATCTTATGCAGTAATCAAGCAGCAGCTGAGCGGTTGCTGACATGGAACCAATTGTGCTTGATGTCGGAAGTGGTTACACAAAAGCAGGGTACGCAAACCCCGACAGCGAGCCTCCATTGGTGAGTTTCCATCCCCCGCTGTCAGATGGGACTGCTAAATCGTTAAAAAGCATCCAGACATGGCATACAATATTAGAAGTGGTGGCAGTTCAAGAGGTTATATGTAATGCAGCCACACTGTAGAAGCGATGCTTTGGGCTGGAGATGTGAGGGAGGCACGAACGCATTGGGGACAGCTTGACGAGATTTTGCCAAAAAAGTGATGGTCAAGAGAGTTCTGCATAAATAAGAGCCTCAGGCGGAATTGAAGCAAGATATGGCTAAGCGAGAACTTCAACTGCAATTGTTCATTAGAAGTCTGCTGCCAGGTGGTGGTGCTTCAAATGTATCCCAAATAAGTTCTTGTTTCTTGGGCAGAAAGATGTAACAAATTTTCCAGAGATATAGTAGCCAGTTGGTCAATCTCACTGGGTCAGACGATCGCTTGAAAAGCACTGTAAGTGTCTGGCCTTGTTGCTTTGTAACTGCCGATCCTCTGTGTTTCGTTTCGCCGTGTAAGAGTATCCCTTGAAGAGCACAGAGCCAGTTCTCTTCAGCCAACGCATCTTCGTTGCGCAGCCTTGATTGCTGCCAGTAGTCAGACTGGAAGTACACACTCAATATGCCTTTCACGCCTGTTGTGCTCTGTCTATTTAAGAAGCGGTTGACATACTGGTAATCAATAATTGCAGGTGCTCCGCACAGCCTTGGTGCCGGCCACTGATCAGACCGGCATCCGGGCGTCCCCAAGCAGTGCGCCCGGAGAGGATACCTCCACTTGGCCAGTACAGAGGGGCCAGATTGCAGACTGGGAAGCAATAGAAGACTTCTGGCACTACATTCTCTACAACCAGCTCGGTTGGGAAGAGGGCAATGAAGGACAGGTCCTGTACGCGGAGCCTCTGTTCTCGTCAAAAGCCTCAAGGGAGAGGTTGGCACAGGTGCGGTGTCAATTTGGGCGTTGTGCACCGTTTACTATTGTAGTGGTATGGCTGACCTGCTCTCCTAGAGTGTGCAACTCTGAAGGGCTTCGAAAAGTAGTAAAAGCAGGTGCTCCTTTTTCAGCCCCTGCAAACAAGATTAAAAATAAGAATATCTTGTTAGGTCCCCGAGAACTCTGTCACTTTTTGCAGATATTGAGAAGCAAAGGCTGGGCCATCGAAAATAAACGGATCTTGGAGCCGCTTCAGAAGCCAATTATCGCAGGTTTCTGAACAGGCAAAAGATTGGTTCTTCGAAAGGAGGCAAACCTTAAGCTCAACGGTCTTTGCCTGTGAAGTGGCAACAGGCCGCTCGGCACGGTTGACCCTGGAGGACAGGTGCAGCAACAGCTCAGCGCTGTCCATTTGTGCTAGCTCCGTAAATCCCGGCTTCCCAACAAGCGCTGCCAGACGTGCGAGCCTTCAAATGCTACTCAGGCCATGTCTCAACCACCCTTCTAATCTGCTCGTTTCCCCGCAGGTCATGTTTGAGAACTTCAATGTCAGCGGACTGTATGTTCTCGACCAAGCCGTGCTCTCCCTCTACGCTACCGGGCGCCTCAGCGGGTGCGCAATCGACGTCGGTTGCGGAAAAGTTGACATCGCCCCGGTCGTTGAGGGGGCTGTTCTGCACAGCATAGCGCAGCAGATTCCTCTGGGGGGAAACGATTTGACAAAGCTTTTCGAGAAGCTAGTTAGCGAGGCGGACCGAAAACGGGGCACATCGAAAGCAAATGGTGGGGCTGATCAGAATGGTACCTTAGGGGGGCCGACTTTGGGAGCGGAGTATGGGGTGATTGAGCAGCTTAAGGAGAAGCATGCAGCGGTTGCTGAGGATGCGGGCGCGTATGTCAGGATGACGTCAGGGGATGCGGAGCCGCTCAGAGAGGAGCACACGCTGCCTGATGGACAGGTGAGCATGGCAGTCACAGACTTTTGGTCAACCTGTTATCGTTTGTGTCCCATCCAGTTTCCTTCTCCTGGGGTCCTTGAGAATCTCTGCGAGGTTGAAGATCTCCGCTGAAAGATACAGCATCACCTTGTATTTTCTGTCTGCGCCTCTGTAAGAGCAGTCAGATATTTGCGACATCCGGTTTTTTCAATCAGTTGTTTCACTTCTCCTCACATGTTTATGACCGCCGAGAGAGCTAGCTTCTTCTCATGGACGCTTTGCACAGGCAAGGGCAGCAAGTCCCTCCCGTTACTTTCAAGGTCCGTTCTTTCCTCTTGGTTCCAGCGCTTTCCTGTTTGTAAGAAAAGTTCAAGCGGTGCACAATTGTGTACATAAAAGAGCGCACCTTGGAATTCCATTTGTTTTACCATCAGGTCATCTCCGTGGGGAGAGAACGGTACACCGTCGGAGAGGCCCTGTTTCAGCCGTCTTTGGTCGGGATCGATGCTGCTGGGATAGCAGAGGCTGCGTCGAGGTCCATCATGGCGGGGCCTCAAGAGAACCAACGACAGTTCCTTGAGAACATCGTTCTCTGTGGGGGGTCGTCTCTCATAAACGGTAAGAGTGATGCCCGAGTGACTCCCTTGAATACTTTGAATACATATTCGGCGGAAAAATTGTGCTCCAACCTGCGAAGCTCGTGTAGGCCTCTGTATGACTCGACAGTAAAGCATTGCAGAGCATTTGGTCATCCGATGAACGGTTTGCGGGGTGAGCTAGGCACCGCCCTCCCATCCTTTTGTTTTAAACTCAATCCGAGTTCCGAACGTGCTACTGCAGCGTTACCAAGAACCGGGGGTGCTGCGAATGTCGAGCACGTGGATAATTTCTATGATTGACACCTTTATGCACCTCTCGAAAGTGAAGGGAATCCGCTTGAAACTCAATACGTAAGTAGAAACATCTGGCTTTGTCATTGCCACGGGTCACATTAGGGTACTCCTCGAGTCTCTATTTGCGTTTGAAGAGGGCTCAATCGACGCACATTCGGCTTCAGACAAACGCCTTTCCTCTCCAGGTCTCGAGTCCAGGCTCCTAAACGAGCTGTCACAAGCTTCACCGCCTTCTATACGACCGCTCACTGTCAAGGTATGTCTTCTACCGTTCAGGCGCCAATCTCATCTCGCGATGCCCAGCGTGCCAACACAAAGTTGCATTCTTGTGCGTGGTAATCTGCATACTGTTGTTCGCATGTTTGTACTGGTGTCAAGAAACACTTCCCAGTATTCGTGGACGGCCGTGGCACCAGCCAGCTTTTGGTGAGACTTGTGCTCTAGTTCGCCAAGCGACCAATTCACTTTTTGCAACAAATTTCTGTTTCGTTTTGCTTTGGGCCATGACCGAGCCAGTACCACCATTTGTGCAGCCGCCGGAATACATGCCCGACTCTACACTCCGGCATTCCGCATGGATGGGAGGGGCCATTCTAGCCAAAGTCGTCTTCCCCCAAAATCAGCACATCACGAAAGCGGAGTACGATGAGCATGGACCATTCATTGTGCACAAAAAGGGCTTTTGAGTGCGGTTACTGGCACACATTGAACCGGTCAACGCAGATGGAATGCCCTACTCTCGTCCTTGCATGAATGCTACTGATTTGATATGTGTTGTTCATGTACCCCGTTTCAATAGCATCCTCAATAACCCGTTGCAGATGTTGAGGCGTCGATCCATTGCGTTTCCGTTTCCATTCTTTCTTACTACAGCTCTGTGTATGCTCTGCTCGCGGGTGCCAGTGCTTTATTTTATGGTCCGCTCGCTGGTCCCGCCTGAGCAGTAGTATGAGTCGTTCCTTTGACAGCGCCGCCGCGCTGAGTTTGTTGCGCCAGCGTATAATCATGTGCATCCTAATTGAGTAGATTCCTACATCCAAAATGCATGCATATGCCCCATGGCCGCGGTCGGATAGGCCTATTAGTTGACATAGGATAGTCCTAAGTAGGCGGCGAACGGGTCTGGGTTTAGGATCCGGGTACGGGCATGCGGTGTATTTGTCGGTTTAGGTTTTGGTTTAGGTTTTCCGGCGGGGGACTGCATTGCTATCCTACCTATAGAATGGTACTAAATAATCGATATATAAATCCCTAAACTAGATAGGATCGTATATATTGGCCGCGGCCCGGTGCTGCGTACATATATGATGCGGCAGCAACGGTGACTGCATGCATGAGATTGCATCATGCATCATTGAGGCACGCCGGGTCAATGTGCACCTTACGGAATAATCAACTAAGTCATGGAGTCCGTCATGAATTGCATCGTATATACCTTTTAAAACAATTTGTACGCACTGAGCGCGAACGATCCGACAGCAGCAACTATATATTATGGACCACTGCATGCAAAGACGGTCGGCTCGGATCATTCTAAATGCATGACTTACGCACAAACAAATGCCATTAAACATCACAAGGATACTGATGCATGCGCATGATCGCAAGTGCAGGCACTTCGCAAGGTCTTTCAGTGGTATACGTGCTGCCGGATTCTGAGCCTTCAAAAGAACCTAGCTGTTGTTGGGCAGAAGAATCCCGGCCGGCATTGACTTCCATTGGATTCGTAGTCTAAGACGAGTCAACTGCTACTAGTATTCCTCTTCTCGCAAGCTGTGGTCCAATGAGGGCGTAGGGCTGTCTGATTGTTCTTCCTTGACGAACTGAGATTCCGGCTCACTAGCGGGTTGTCGATGGGTTTAGCGAGCCATGATCATTTCAGATCTGCACGAAGCCCAGGAAGAGTTGACGAGTTACGTGAAAGTATGAAGGCGTGGAGAACGAAACGGAACAAAAAGGAGGCAGAATGCCAGAACTACCCTCTCAGCGTTCAATTCAATCACCTCGTTCGGAGATGAAGCCCACAACGGTCAGTACTCCAACGAAGGCAATCGGATCAGTATCTCGAGATCGCATATAGAATATTCATGGCTTCCCAGGTGGCAGCATCCGTACTCAGATTAGCCCTTTCGCGGGAGCTACAAATAGCAGACGTGTCTGCAAACCGTCTTTGATGGCCCATGCAGAAGTCGAGCCCAGGACCAACTGGTCCACACACGAAATTTCACTAGAATATAGAGGAAGGAAGGTTGAACGGAAAACATATGCCCCTGGTACACTCAAAAGGGTAAACAAGTAATTAAGTGAATTTCAAGAGGCACGCTAACAGCAATCTAAGATGGGGACTTACCAAGCCAATTCTGGCCTCCGTCGGGTATTGCCGAAGCTGCCTCGCCAGTTGCACCGCCTCTCAAAGCTCTTGTCTGCCTACTTCCTTCGGTAGCTTTGTGTCCCTAGACCCAAAAGCCAGGCTTTCCATTTTTTGCTGAATCCAGGACCGTAAGTGGGAGGTATTGTTAGTGACAGTTGCACGAGCTACAGGCTGCAGGAAATTGGCCCAAGTATCGCTGACTTCAGGGTGCGACTGTACTGTCAATCTTTCTAACGTGTTAAAATTTTCTTGTGGTGGCTTTGAGAATGAAGGCAGGCTGAGTAACGTCTCAACCAGAACCAAAGCCGCAAGAACAGTGCCCTTTGCACTTGGATGATAGTCATCCTCTACATAAAGTGCTTTAAAGGTGCCAGTCCAACCATAAAAGGGACTTTCTGACACAACACTACCAGAGTCAGCCCTTCCCCCCTCCATGGTGTCATAAATGAGGTTCCAAGCCTTGCCCGCAGGCGCGATCACGACGATGCTTCCCGGCACCGCTTTTTCAATCTCAGTCTTGTACATCTCATACCCCGTGATCAGCAGACGCTGCATGGTTGGGTAGTCTGGAAAGAGCTGCGTAAAGAAAGCATTGCTGCGGTCATAGTTCCCCTCCCTGTGGGCCCAGGTCTGAAGTAGCACTACGGTGGCGCCCTTTTTCGTGGCTATGGCAGCTAGTTGCAGGAGCGCTTCCTTGCTACTCTCCCACAGCCCTGTGTACTGGAACGTCCCTGGGATCTGGCTCTGATCCTGCACAATTTACGGACAAAACGGTTGAGTGTTCCAAGGTTCAGGACATCACCCCATGTCCAGATTGCAGCTGGAGTTTTAGATACAGAGGAGCCGCTAGAAATTTTCTAGGAGGAGATGGACTCGTACATTCATTAGCAAGAACGATAATCTCTTTAGAGAGTTCTGACCCCTGCTAAAGATCGGATCAGGAAGGTGTTGTTACTCTCGAAATTGGTTGTACATAAGTCACAACCACACGCCACTGAGTTGGGGGAAATCCCTTGAGCAAACTCGAAGAATGGAAGAAGAACTTCAACTTGGCAGGACTTGGAATTATGAAAGGAGCTGATTCTGTTCGAGCTTTAAAATTGCGTTTACTTACATACAACTTGAAAAGCTCGGCACTGCTGCAGAAGAACGTCTTACCTGCAGTATGACATAGTCCCATCTCTGCTCGCTTTGACTGCCCTCTCCAAGTAGACTGTACAGCTCCTCCTCTGAGTTCTCCAGATCTTTCAAATGTTGGACGAAGCTGTAGCCCCCTTTCGCTACTCTTTTCGCCTCAACTACGATCCCCCTGCTGCGCATGAACAATGTGAAGACCTTATCCAGGTCGTTTGCATACGTGAAGGAGTTGCCTACGAAGAGCACCCGCAGGCTGCTGCTACTGCTCTCCATGTTCTGCAGCTCGACCCCGGTTGCTGAAGCTCCACACCGGCTATGGACAAGAAGAAATATCGTGGAGAGGACGACAAAAGGATAATGAAGTCCTTTCTGGCAGAAACTCTTTGTTTGAGGGGGATTGGAGAAGGACCTCAATTCCATGGATCACTTTCAGAGCCGCCACCATCATGTCAATGGAGGACTAAATAGATTTTTATCAAGACCTTGCAGTGTTGCAGGTTTACAAGTTCTTGGAAAGCCTCCCTCAACATGTCATGGACCAGCTAGGGCGCTGGCAAAAATAAAACCTTGTGCTGTGCCTATGTTGACCAGCGTTTCTCTGATGAAAAGTGAAATATATGTTGAGTATGTCGAGGTGTAAATGAGAATATAAGATGGCAGCGAAAAATGGACAGGTTAAGTGTATATCAACCATCATATTCGCTCTACGGGTCAATATCACCGTTTCTACTGATCCAAACGCGTATGCGGGCATATTTCAATAGGTCATTCGGGTAGGTATGCGTTGCAATTTCAACTCTTTCAACCGTCAAACCGTGCATGATCATCAAATATTATATGAATTTTCTGATAAAAACATCTATATCCTGACAGTTGAAAGCTTGGACGACCTGGGACGACCAGCAGTCTTCGGACGCGATAACATTTTGGTACTGCAGCCGGTAGCG